CAGCAGACTAGGCTCACTGACCCATGGAGTGAGAGAGCTGAGCATCTTCAGGAAGAGTTGCGTGCCTCCAGCCACTTAGCAGTGGAGCTAAAGAGCTTTGTAACGCTTGCCCCAGCAGGGCAGAGGCCAGGCCAAGGGCCGAGCATGAGGACTAAGGGCTGAGAGCCGAGAGCGAGGGCTGAGGGCTGAGAAGAAGCTGTCATGATTGAAGGACTGTATCCTGAGTTGTTCCTGTTACTTTCAAGTTGATTCTGATCCTGAATTGTAATGTGCTACTTCTCTAATAAACCCCATAATGGTGAATATGGTCTGTGAGTTTTGTGTGGCCATTGCAATGAATTATCAAACCCAGCAGAAAAGTAGAGAGTGCCGTGGGAGGGACATCTATTGTCAGACTTGGTAAAAAAGATTGGAGAGTGGAGGTATGTCTGACCTCCACCTCATAGGAATCATCAGCCTTGGGTCGATGTTGATCTTGGTAATTATCCTTCCCTCTCGTGAAGTTAGACTAGGAGGTCTGACGCCACACCATTTTTACATACCCTAATTCTCATATGGGGAGCCCTGGTGGCGCAGTGGTTAAGAGCTTGGCTGCTAACCAAAAGGTCGGCAGTTTAAATCCACCAGCCACTCCTTGGAAACCCTATGGGGCAGTTCTTCTCTGTCCTATAGGGTCGCTATGAGTTGGAATCGACTCAATGGCAACGGGTTTATTCTCATATGTAAAATTAGGGTAATATCTATGATACAAAGAGGCTATATAGTAAACATTCAAGAAGTGTTCACTATTGATATTATTGTGTGTATGTGTGTGTATATATAAATCAGTAGATATGTCAGGTTTATTGAGGTATATTTTACATACAGTAAAATTCACCATATTTAGTCCACAGTTCTGTGAGTTTTGACAGATCCATACAGTTGTGTAACCACCACCCAAAGATACAGATATAGATCAGTACCATTACTATAAAAAGTTCTCTTGTGCCCCCTTGTTGTCAACCTTTCCCCTAGCCAGAGCCACAGGCAGCCACACTGTTCTGTGTTCTGTGCCTATAGTTTTGCCTTTTCCACAGTATCAAATAAGTGGAGTCACCCAGTATGTTGTGTTTTGAGTCTGAATTATTTTACATAGCATAATGCATTTGAGGTTCGTCCATGTTGTACACACCAGTAGTTTGTTCTTTTTTACTGCTGATTAGTATTCCAATGAATGGATGTGTACCACAATTTGTTTAACCATTCACCAGCTCATGGACATTTGAGTTGTTTCTAGTGGCTGTTATGAATAAAGCTTTGAACATTCAAATACAAGGCTTTGTCTGAACATGTTTTTCTTTTACTTATGGATTTATTTAGAAGTATGTTGTTTAATTTCGAAGTGTTTTGAAATTTTCCAAATATCTTTTTAGTTGATTTCTTATTTAATTCCATTGTGCTTAGAGATTTATGTTGTATGATTTCAGTCCTTTTAAATTTGTTGAGGTTTGTTTTATGGCTCAGAATACAGTCTGCTGGTGAATGTTCCATGTGCACTTGAAGAGTGTATCTTGCTGTTGGGAGGATTGTTTTATCAATATCAGTTAAGTCAAGTTGTTGATAGTGTAGTTAGTCTTGTATATCGTTAGTAATTTTCTGGCTATTCTGTCAATTACTGAGAGAAGGAGTGTTCATTTCCAGCTATAATTATGGAATTTTCTGTTTGTCTTTTTGGTTTGATTTGGTGGCGTAGTGGTTAAAGTGCTCAGCTGCTAATTGAGAAGGTCGGTTGTTGGAACCTACCAGCTGCTCCCTGGGAGAAAGTTTGTGGCAGTCTGCTTCTGTAAAGATTTACAGCCTTGAAGACACTGTAGGGCAGTGCTTCTCTGTCCTATAGGGCTACTATGAGTGAGAATCAACTCGACAGCAGTGGTTTTTTTTTTTTTTAAATATTTTCGGTATGTATTTTGAAGCTTTGTTACATAAACATTCATGATTCTTATATCCTCTTGACAAATCGACCCCTTTATCATTATGAACTGCCCCTGTTTGTCCCGGATAATATTACTTGTTCTGAAATATACTTTGTCTTAAATTGTGATAGGCGGAATGGCCCCCAAAGATATCCATGCCCTAAACCCTGGAACTAGTGAATATGTAATTAAGGATACTTGTTAGTTTTCTGTTGCTGCCGTGAGAAATTATGACAGACTGAATGGCTTCAAACTACATAAGTGGATTCTCTCACAGTTCTATGGGTCGGAAGTGCCAGTACGTCATGGCTCAGTTGGGTCTTCTGCTTAGAGTCTCACAAGGTTGAAATCTAGGTGTTGGCAGATCTGTATTCCTTTGTGGAGGCTCTGGGGCTTAATCTGCTTCCAAGCTCATTTGGGTTGTTGTTAGAATTCCCTTTTCTTGCTGGCTGTCAGCCGGGGTGGTTCTCAGTTTCTAGAGCCCGCCCTCATTTTTTGGCTCATGGTCCTCCTCCTGTCTTCAGAGCCAGCAGTGGCAGGTCAGGGCCTTCTCATGTTTGGAATCTTTCTGACCTCTCCTTCTGCCCCATCCCCCCTCCGCTTTTTCTTCTGCCTCATCTCTCTGACTTACTCCTCTGCCTTCCTCTTCTGCTTTTAAGGACTCATGTAATTCCACTGGGCTCACCCATGTAGTCCAGGATAATCTCCCTGTTTTTAAGGTCAGCTGATTAGTAAGCCTTAATTCCATTTGTAAAGTCCCTTCACAGCAGTACCTAGATTAGTGTTTGATTGAATAACCAGGGGATGAGAATCTGGGGGACATCTTTAGAATTCTGTGTACCACAGTTCCATACCAAAAAACCCACTGCTGTTGAGTTGATTTCAACTCATAGCGACCCTTAAGAATGGAGCAGAACTGCCCCATAGGGTTTCCAAGGCTGTAATCTTTTTACGGAAGCAGACTGCCACATCTTTCTCCCACGGGGTGGCTGGTGGATTCGAACCACCAACCTTTCAGTTAGCAGCCAAGCACTTAACCACTGCACCACCAGGGCTCCTCCCTACCACAGTTAAGGACCTTAAAATAGGTGATTATCCTGTATTATTCCAGTGGGCCCAATTTAATCATGTGAGCTTTTAAAAGCAGAGAACTTTCTCTGGCTGGAAGCGGGAAAGATGTGGCAGAAGGAGAAGTCAGATTCCAAGCCTGAGAAGGATTTAGTATGTTGTTGCTTGGTTTGAGATGTAAGGCCTTAGGACGAGAGAGAGGCCTCTAGGATTTAAGGGCAGCCCCTAGCTGACAGCCGGCAAGGAATGAGGACCTCAGTCCTGCAACCACAGGAAACTGAAATCTGCCAACAACTTCAATGAATTGGGAAGTGGATTCTTCCCAGAACCTCCTGATAAGAGCCCAGCAAGCTGACACCTTGATTTCAGCTTTTTGAGACTCTGAGCAGAGAAACCAACTGAGGCCACCTGAACTTCTAACCCACAGAACTGTGAGATAATAAAATTATGTCCGGGAACCAGACCTCTGGAGTGCTCTCTTTGCATTTCCCTTCTTTCCAGAACTCTGCGCCCCAGCTTCTGGCTGCTGTGACCTTTCTGAACTCTGATCTCTGGGGGTCAGAAGCTCACAGTGCACCGGCCCTGGTCTGTTTCAGGTTCCCTCCCTATGCTGCAGTGGGAACTGCCTGCAGGCAGCAAGCTGGGGCAACAGTAGGGCTTCCCTCCTTTGCTTTCCTTCTCTCTGGCATCACGGTCCCTTATGCCCACTGCCTGTTGTCCAGTGTCTGAAAACTGTTGTTTCACATATTTTGTCCAGTTTGTTTAAGGTGGGAGGGTAAATCCAGTTCCCATTAGTAAATCAAGTCCTTGACAGTGTAGCTTCTAATTAATATTTTAAGAACATTGTCTTCAGGAATTCCCTTTTATATGAGATATGAAAATGTGTGTTGTGTGTGTGTGTGTGTGTGTGTGTGTGTGTTTCATTCAGTCAGGAAAAATATAATAAGTGTACTGAAATGTTATTGAGTATGAACATAGCAAACGGCTGCCTTTTAAATAGAATCAGTGGCAGAATATGGCCATATCCTGAATGTGCCCACCTTGTCCAGTCTCTATGTCTTGGTAGGGGTCGTTCCTTCTGCCTGATATGCTTCCTCACCTCACTTTCTTTCCTGTCTGCCAGCTTTCTACGTGTCCTCCAGCCCCAGCTCCAGGGCCATCACCTTTCTGCTTCCCAGTGCCCCAGACGGAATCCGGATTTCCTCTTCTGGGCTCCCACCGTGTCTGCCTAGAGCACCATTGCAGCACATGTCATGTTGTATTAGAATTGCATGTTTCTGTGTGTACTCCCTCCTACTGGAAAGCAGGGGATGGGATTTAGTCTTCTGTATGTTTCTCATCCCCTAACACAGTATGTCTACTACATAGAACTTTTTAATAAATGATTGTTGAATTAGTGCCTTGTTTTTAAAAAAATGTGGTAATAACAAAATGTTTGCTATTTCAACATTTTTTACATCACAATGCAGTGACATTAATTACATTCATCATGTTGTGCAGCCATCACCATTGTCTATTTGCAGATTTTTCCATCACCCTTAACAGAAGTTCAGTGCCCCCCTAAGCAATGACTCCCTCTTCCCCCTCCCTCCCACCCTGGGTAACTACTAATACATTTACCTGTTCTAGATATTTCGTATAAGTGGGACCATACAATATTTATCCTTTTGTGACTGAGTTATTTCACACAGCATGATGTTTTCAGAGTTCATCCATGTTGTGGCATGCATCAGGACTTCATTTCTCTTTATGGCAGAGTAGTACTCCATCCTATGGATGGACCACATTTTGTTTAGCTTTTCATCTGTTGATGGACATTTCAGTTGTTTCCACCCATTGGCAATTGTGAATATGCTGCAGTGAACATCGGTGTATATTAGTGACTCTGTGTGCTGAAAAATATTGCTGTTGTTACTCCCCATGTCAGTTTCACATATCTGTGAAAAGGAATCCTCTTTAATCGTTTTGCTTTTCTCCTAGTAAATTCCTCATATATGCCTGTCTGCTGCTGTTTTCTGTGCTGCTGGCCCTTCGTCTGGATGGCATCATTCAGTGGAGTTACTGGGCTGTCTTTGCGCCAATATGGCTGTGGAAGTTAATGGTCATTGTTGGCGCCTCCGTTGGAACTGGAGTCTGGGCACGAAATCCCCAATATCGGTAATACTGCTTTATAAAATCCACTGGTTTCTGTATTGAAAGAGCAATATCTTAGTTTTTCTCACTTTTATTGATAGAGCACCATTTTCTCTTTCCTTTTTCTGATGTTTTATATGACAGGCAAACTGAGTTCCATTCTAAGTTTTTAAAAATTAAATGTTTACAGTGTGTTTTCCTGCAAAAGCAGCGTCATTTTGGGTGGTCAAGTTCCTAGCCAGCTCATAAAAGCCTATATAATCCAAAATGCACCCAAAATATAGAACTGTACACCATGCCAGGCTTAGGAGTATGAAACAATCCTGTTTTTAGGAGAATGTACTCAGAGTTCTAGCTTTCGTCATCAGTCCTAAAACTGAGGCTCCCATTGTCCCAGTCTCCTAGTCCTGGGCTCTCAGGACTGTCAGCTGTGTGGGGGAGCTAGCTTGGCCAGGAGACTGTGAGTCCCTGAGACCAGCTGGGGAGTGAGGAGAGATGAGTAGGTAAGCAGAGCCTTTGGGGGCAAGGGAGAGGGCTAACCTTTACCTTCTCCAGCCCTCCCCTTGGCCTCCTGGATGCTTCAGCTGGTCTACATTCCTGCTAATTGGCTCACTCCAGCCCATAGCCTGGTGCTGCTGGTGTTGCTGGGGCCTGGGAGAGCCAGAGGGTGAGGGGACCACCCTGTTCCTTTCCTTCTGCCTTGCAAAGACTGGAACTACAGACATTACCACCAAGTCAGACTTTAACTGTATAAAGGGGAGGTGAGCCTGGGGTGAGGTAGAGGCCTAGCCCAAACCTTCACAGGGACAGTGGGGAGGGAAGGAATAGCCAGAGGCAGGTGGGGAGGGGAGGGGGGGCTGTGTAGCAGCCTAGGGCAGCTGCTCCGGGGAGAAAAGTGTAGACGTTGGGACCACCTCAGCTTGTTTAGTTCTTAGTTAATAACTTTAAAATAAGATTTAAATTATGTAAAATACATATCACATACTGATTCAGAATTTCTTCAGATGTCTTTTGCTTAGCCACTATTTGTGATGTACTTTTTATGCTAAGAAGAGCAGAAACTCCAAAGAGCCTTGGTGGGGTGGGGGCCATGCGCTTTCATGTGTAGCTATTTAAAAGTTCTTCGATTTTTTTTTTTAAAATAAGATTACCTGTGTGTATCCAAGTCTTTTTTATGGAATATTTTCAGGTATCTAACGTTTGATGCTCAAATAATGAAAAATGAAATAACTAAACATTTTAAGTGTTACTAGTTGATATTTAGATGTTATTTGAACTCTTCTCTGTTGCTTTAAGATTTTTAGAGCAAGGAAAGGAAGTGAGTGTGTGTGATTGACTGTACCGAGTGGACAGAGGTGGTCTTTCTCCCTCTGGAGAATTTACCAGTGGAGCGTTGTTAGGTCCTGCCAGAATAACCTCTGCCCGTGCTTTCTTGGTGTCCTAAACTCGGGTGTGTTATCACCAACAAGGTGGGTCAGAAATTCTAGTCTGCATTTTGAATGAACATTGTAGGCCTTTCAGATGCATTATTAAGCATTTTCCTGATCAGTGGTTGTGATGTTTAAGATTGTGTGTCCACTTGGCTGGACCATGATTATCAGTGTTTATATGTGATTGCTCCCATGACTGAATATACTGTGAGTAGCCAATCAGTTGAAACAGTTTCCTTGGGGATGTGGCCTGCATCCAAATGTAAGTGGATGTCCTGGCTTTTTGCTTGCTGTGGATCCCGCGGCTGCCTCCTGTTCAGCTGACCTCTGGTTCTTGGGACTTGAGCTATCAGCTTATCTGCCGATCTTGGGATTCGTCGATCTTCACAGCATGTGAGCAGGAGCCCTGCTCTCCGACCTGCCGATCTTGGGTTCGCCAGCCCCTACAGCTACATGAATCAGGAGAAGCCTTGTGGTCTTGCTTGCCAATCTTGGGATTCGTCGATCTTCACAGACTGCAAGCGGGAGCCCTGCTCTCTGACCTGCTGATCTTGGGTTCTCCAGCCCTTGCAGTGACATGAATCAAGAGAAGCCTCTATCCTGATCCACGGACTTGGGACGTTCCAGCCTCTACAACTGCGTGAGCCGTTTCCTTAATATAAATCTCTCTCTATATATATTTATACGCTTTACTGGTTTTGGTTCTCTAGAGAACCCAGCCTAAGACAGTGGCCTTGTTATTTTTCATTTGTTAATTAAATTCATACAAGATGTTGAAATAGCTAAATAACCTGATTTGGTTTGAGGACATTTTTAACTCTTTTGCTCTTCTATCTCTTTCATCTACAGGTGTTAACTCATCCTAATGGACTAGAAAGAAAAATAAAAGAAGACATGAATACTTTTTAGTTGCATTTTAAAATAACACCTAACAATAGTTACTATATTTTCTAGAAATATAACCCACACTTGTTCGTAAACCTAGAGTTATTTTTTATAGTACTGCATGGAATGATTTACATGGTTTTTAATTGGTTGAGATATGAAGATCATGAGAATTAAGGAATGTTTGTCCGTTTTAAGGCAGTAGAAGCAGTCGGCTTGAATAATCTGAGAAGCGACTCTTGCAGTTAAATATAAGGTTATGAACAAAAGTTTTATGTGCACCGTCGGAAATCCTAACTGTGGCTGTTCCTTGTGTGAGTCCTTGTACAGTTAAAGCTTAGCTTGGTGGTAATGTTCATTCTTGTCATGTAGCACTTCTTTGAGGTTTTAAAGATTCGGTTTCTGTTAGATTTCTACCTGACTTTTCTTCACTTTTTGTCGATTTTACAAATAAAATTCAAAGTATCAACATGGACTGCTAGCTTGTAACGCAGATTCTGAACTGAGGGTTGTTTTTTCCCATGTCCCTTTTTAGAGCAGAGGGAGAAACGTGTGTGGAATTCAAAGCCATGTTAATTGCAGTGGGCATCCACTTGCTCCTGCTGATGTTCGAGGTCCTGGTCTGTGACCGGATTGAGAGAGGAAGCCACTTCTGGCTTCTGGTCTTCATGCCACTCTTCTTTGTCTCCCCTGTGTCTGTTGCAGCTTGTGTTTGGGGGTTTCGACATGACAGGTCACTAGAGGTAAGATTTCATATATTTAATGATGCTATATATAATTAAGACCTTATAACTTATGTCACAATTATAACCAGAAAATCTTTGGGTCAGTTATTTGAACGTAAGTGTCTTGCCCTTTGTTAGGAAGAGAGTGCTCACTCATTCGAGATTGTGGTATATAAGGACAGATAAGGTGATGGAGGTAACCCTGCTTCTCTTCCTTGACTTAGAACATTGCCTTTGTACTCAGGCCATCGGCCTTCTTCATTTCTTTAGTCCCATGGCCTCGCCTCTTGCCTGCTCTCTGGGTGGCTTATCCTGATGTGCCCATCTGTTTGTTTGTCCACTCAGTCAACATTTAGTGAGTATGTGCCTAAGCGTGGGGGAAACACAGATGAATAGAGCAGCAGTACAGTAATGCCAGTAATGGTAGTGGGAATAATGGCAGATGACTTGTATTGAACACTTACTGTGTGCCAGGCATTGTGCTAGACACCTTGTGTGCAGTATCTTATTAAATACTCACAACAACCCTGTGAGGTAGATGCAGTTGTCATCCTTGTTTTCCATCTGGGGAAACTGAGGCCCAGAGAGGGGAAATAATTTGTTCCTGGCCACACATTAGGGGCAGGGGTAGGATTCCATTTCCGTCAGCCTGACTTTAAAGGCCAAGCGCTTACCTCATGGAAGCTGAGGGCCCAGAGCCATGCGGAGATGGTGTGGGAGGAGAACTGGAGGATACAGACTCCTTGCTTTTAGCTGGCTGGCTACAGAGTGGAGCAAGGACACTGCAGTTTGGTTGGAAAGCACCTACGAGCTGGAGGGCGGTTCAGGGTATGTGAGCCTCAACCACATACCCTGAGAGGAAGGTGCCATTTGAAAGGGAGGATGATGGAGCAAGGCTCCCTGGGACCCAGAGGGAATGGGATGTAGAGTACCAGGAAGGGCTTGGCCTTGAACAGGGGCAGGGATTCCTGGACTCTGGTACTGGAGGAAAGGCCTCGGGTAGGTGTGCTTGGTCAGTAGGGGTGGAACCTGGAGGCAAAGCACCTCTGCCACCCAGGTCACCCTCCCTGCATGCCCTAAGCCTTCATCAATCCAGCCACTTAGCTTCTGCACTGCTTCCCACTGGCTGCTTGCCTGGTGTTGCTGCAGAAAGTCATGTGGACTGGACACCACAGGTTTTCGGTCTCGGGCTTCCGCCTGACCCCGCCTTCTCAACGGAAGCAATAGCACCTTCCCCCAGGGGGCAAAAATTGTTTCCAGGATGGCGGAGATTGGGAAAAAAATCTTACTCTTTTTACAAATAAAGCACAGATGCACATACAGTGCATTAACAAATATACAAAATCTCTGTAGTATTAAAATTTCGTGGTAAGGGTCAATGAGGAAAAAATGTCCAAAAAAGCACCCTGGGGTGGTAGTGGTAATGAAAACAAGGCTGAGAAGCACAGAGCTAGGCCCTCCTTCCCCTCTGTGACCGCCACCTGTCTGTCTCCATTGTGCCTCCGTTTCCCCGCAGTCACATGAAACCCTTGCCTCTCCTACCTCCCTTGCCATTCTACTTTCTCTCACACTCAAGTTTCAGATCCTAGCCCCTTCCAGTTCCTCGAAGCCTTTGCTCCAGAGCTTGTCCACACTCTCCAGGAGCTTTGGTCTCATCTTAAAGAGAAAATAAACCACCAGCAGCAAAACCCTCACGACCCTCTGCTCAGGGGTCGCCCTTGTGTGCCTTATCCAGCTTCTCCCAAATCTTTATTTCCCATTTCCACCCAGTCATCCAAACCTTTCAACTTTCTGCCTCTGTTGCTTTATGTGTTCTTTCTGTTACCTGAACAAATGAAGTTAGAACCAAGCTTTAAAATCATTTTCAAAAGCTTACATTGAAAACCAATCACTGAGATCAAAATATTCTAGTTATTACCTGTGAGGGGAGGAGTGTGCTATTGGAATTTTGAGTAGGAACTTTTCTGTTGACTAGGACTGTCCTTTGCATTGCAGGACAGTTAGCATCCCTGACCACTGCCCACTAAATCCTAGTAGCGCCCCTCCTTCCCCAGCCAAGCCTTTGCATCTTTGTGAGATCCCACAGTGCCCCTGTATATTTCCTAGGGGAGTAGCATTGCCCAAGTTGAGAGGCACTGAAAGGGTTATCTGAATACTGAAGGGTGAAGGGTAGGGGCTAAGAAGGAAGTTTAAGAAACCTGTAAAAATTTGGAACTTTGTTTTTTAGAAAGCAAAAGCACATACATGGGATAGGACTGCATTGGGCATGAAACACGTATTTTCCTAACGCAAAGCTATAGAAGGAAAGTCTTTCATGTGGTCACACTCTTGTCATTCCTTCCTATGAATAGAGCATGCCAGGAGTTGAGCTCCCTCTTAGCCCTCGTCATAGAAGGAGGACCCTCCCACAGAGATGTGAAGGAGAAGTTGAGGCTGACACAGCCCTGTGTAGGAAGGAAGGAGAGTATTTTTCAGGCCCAGGGAATAAATCATACAAAGGCTAGAGGCATGAGAAAATCCACCGTGTTGAGTGAATTAGAAGTAGCTCAGATATGATGGGAGCATAAAGTAGAAAGGAGGGAATTGTGGGTGTTGGGGGAAAGGAGGACTGTACAAAGGGATCGGGCTGAATTGGGGCCAGATCTACATTCTCAAAGCATGCACTGAGGTGCCCTGGAGCACTACAGGATAGTTTATATTTTTAAGGGAAAAACAGTGATAGCTGACATCTGTCGGGACACCACGTGAACTGCTAGTTGGAAGTAGTTTATGGTTTTGTTATTAGGTCCCACTACATATGTTCCTTTTAATGATGGTATGTCTTTGTAAAGCTGGGCTTTCGGAGGTTGCCAAGATAAAACGCTAGTACTGTGTGAAAATCATTGTGGAGAACAGGTAATGAGGGTGGCAGCATCCTATCTAATTCCCAGGTTTGAGAAGTTGTGCCATGCCCAACAGACACGCATATCCCATTAGGAATTAGTTGTGGTTATTTGAGAATGAAATCAAAATAATCCTTTTCTTTCGATTTATGTGAATTATTGCTTCCAACAGCTACTTAGGACATAAATACTAAGTTTAGACCTAATTACTTAAGTCACTGGAATTGTTTGGTGTTTCTTTGGGCCTCAGAGCCTATGAAAAGAGTCCCTGGGTGGTGCAAACAGTTACATGCTCTACTACTAGCTGGAAGGTTGGCTGTTCGAACTCACTCAAAGGTGCTTCAGAAGACAGGCCTGGTGGTCTGTTTCTGAAAGGTCACAGCCTTGAAAACCCTATGGAGCAGTTCTGCTCTGCACACATGGAGCCAGAAAGGAAGGGATGGGATCCAGGACCGATGCCTGGGTAGGAGAAGAAGGAAGTACAGGGATGGTTACAGAATTGACTCAGCGGCAACTAACAACAACGACTGAGTCACTGTGTGCCCTGTGAGTCAAGAAGGCTTTTGGGAACCTCTGGGCCAGACCATAGATGGCTTTGTGTGCCATGCTGAAAAGGTTAGATTTTCATTCTGTAGGCTTTGGGGCACTATTGAAGAACGGCAAGTAGTGTAAGCACACTGGCTAGAGTTCCAAGTTGGAGTGGAGAGCAGCCTGGAGGGTGGTGGGGAGTGCAGGGCCATTGGACAGGGGGCAGGGAGGCTGTTAAGGGGGCCGTTGAAGTGGGGGTGAGGTATGAGGTTGACAAGGAGAGCCTGAGCTAAAACCATAGTAATTGGAATAGAAAGCAGGCAGGGGATTCAGGTGTGAAGGATTTGGTGATTGAATGCTGGTGTGGGACGAGGAATCTGGATGCTGTCCAGCTTTATAGTTGGGGCATTTAGACAGTTGTGGTACTTACAGAGGGAAGAGACAGGGTTAAAGGTGCAGAGGTCCTGAACTCAGTTTGGGACTGGATTCATTGAGGTGCCTGTAGGACAGCTACAGGGCATATGGACAGCCGGGCCTGGTGCTCAGAAGGCAGGCTAGGTTGGAGACAGATTTGAGAACTAACCAAGAAGAGGCAATGCAAGTTCATTCTCCCCCTAAGGGCGGAGTGAGTGAGTGAAAGTGGGGGAGTGTGTGTATGTGTCTATTGGAGAGACAGGAAGACTGGGTTTAAAGCTCTGGGGAACATCACCATTTGAGGAAAGGAAAAGGAGCCTGAAAAGGAGTTGTCAGAGCAGGAGGATGCCAGGACTGCGCGGTGGTGCCCTAGAAGCCCAGGAAGAGAGTTTGAGGAAGGAAGGAGGGGCCAGCCCTAGCAGGGTGCCAACTGAAAAATGGCGGGGGTGATTGTCATCTTGTGAAAGCTGGCTCCATGTGTCCATGGGGGTGGAGGCCAAATCACAGTGGGAGGAGCTGGGAACGTGAGGTGAGGCCACGGAGGTTAGCTTCCAGTACCAGTGCACAAAGAAAGGAGGGAGAGAGCTAGGGCTAAGAGGGTATGGGATCAAGGGAAGCTGGCTTTATTAGCTTTTGTTTTTAATAGAAAAGCATTCAACTTGTTTCTGTGCTGCAGGGAGGATCAACGGAGTAGGCGGGGGTTGAATATCTAGTAAGGAATCTGTAACTGATATTTTGATGTTACTAGGTCCTTGAGGAGCCAGAAAGGAAGGGGTGGGATCCAGGGCCGAGGCCTGGGTAAGAGAAGAAGGAAATACAGGGATGGTTACGGGTAGAGATGCTTGCTGTGGGGCAGGAAGGAAGCTTGGGGCATCCACTGCTCAGGGCTGGAGCAGCATAAAGGGTGGGGCAGCCACTGAGCAGAGGGAGCACGGCACACACCAGCAGCAAGTTTCCTTTGGGGACGGCACTGCTTGGCTCCTCTGGTACTGAAAATCAGTGTAACTTTGAAAGGTTTTACTACATTGTAATTTGCATTACCTTACAGTGTGTTAATCATGTGTTAATCAAATCATTTCAGTATTGAATGCAACTTTTACTTTGTTTAACTAATTCTTCTCTTCCTTTTTAGTTAGAAATCTTGTGCTCTGTCAACATTCTTCAGTTTATATTCATTGCCTTGAGACTGGACAAGATCATCCACTGGCCATGGCTTGTACGTAACTTTCTAAATCCTTAAATCAACTTTTCTTTTTTATTGTAAAAGTAATTCATATTCATTGTAGAAAACTTGGAAAAGATATAGCTAACAGCATAACCATAGCTAATAGAATAAGAATCAGCCATAGTCCCACCACTAGTTCGTGTTTTGTGTTTCTTATTTGGGGTTCTGTTGTTTTATACAGATAGCTGACATCATACTGCACGTATAGTTGTGTATACTGCTTTTTTGTTTTAACGTTGTATCATAACATTTCCCCAGGTCAATTCTTTATAAACATAAATTTTAAAGTTGAATTATGTAAAATATTCTTCCACCATCCTCTATAAACAAATTTTAAAGTTTAATTATGTAAAATATTCTTCCACCATCCCCTTATTTCTGAAGATTTAGGTTGTTGTCAGTGTTTTGTGATTACAAGTCATGTTGCCTTGTATATTTTTGTGCATAAAAATCTTTGCCTGATTTATGGGTGGTTTTCACAGGAAAAACTCCAGAAACAGTATTACTGGGTTAGGGAGTGGGACCCCATTGAGATTCTCTAATACAACTGCATTGCCAACTTGCTTTTCAAGAAAGGTGTGCCAGTTTACACTTCTGCCAGCAGTGAGGTCTAAGTCATGCTTTTCAACTGTGGCTCCAGTTAATGGATGTTTGATTAAAATTGACGATGGATGGGATGGACGGGACGGACGGGACGGATGGGATGGATGGAGGGAGAGGGATGGATGGAGATGGATGGATGGACGGATGGATGCGTGGACAGATGGCAAGCTACAAATGTGAGAATACAGTATGATGTCAACTATTAAATGCATAGAAAGAAGAGTAGAACAAAGGCAGAAGGGTTCCATTACCTCTTGGAGGTGAGTCGTGCCCATGGTTTTTCCCCCTGCTGCTTGATGTACACTTTTTGTTTTTGTTGTTAGTTTTTCTTTTGAATTTGTATTTTTAACAGCTTTATTGGAATATCACTCAATACTGTACAGTCCATCAATTTAAAGTGTACAGTTCAGTGGTTTTAAGTATCTTCACAGATATGTACAATCATCCCTACAGTCAATTTTAGAACATTTTCATTTCTCTCAAAAGAAACCTTGTATGCTTTAGCTATCTCCCCTCTCTCCTCCCCCAGCCTTAGGTAGCCACTAATCTACTTTCTGTCTCTGTAGAGTCCCCTGTTCTGGACATTTCATATGAATGGAATCATATGTGTTGATATACACTTTTGTACTTTAGAAATTTTCTGTAATGAACATGGTTTATGTTTTAAAAAAAAAGTAAAAAAAATTATAATAAAAAAAGAAAATGTTTGTTTAGGGGCAGGGAAGAAAATAAGGGAACATGAGTAGCCTCCATAATTAGTGAAGATAGGATTTATAACTTCTGCCCAAAGTCTTTGATAAAACATTCTTAATCAAAAGATTGTTCAAGTGCCTATGCTACATCTTTTGGGTGCTGCAGCTGGAGAATGGTAATTGTGTTCAAGAATGTTTCTATTGTGACATGAAGGAAACAACTCTGGATAAGACCAATTTTTTAGTTTAAGGTCTAATTAGGAAAAATGTGGTTAGGAATTTTGAATGTTTTGTTGAAGTAAACTGAGGGATTGCTCAATCCCCAGTCTTGTGCGGTTCCCAGCAGATGAAGCAGTCTGATTACATGTTTGCCACAAGGGTCAAAAGCGAGCAAGTAAGGCTGGTAAGGTCACTAACATTCCCCCGAAGAATGGAACGCCAGTGAATGACAGTGTGATCACAGAACTGCTTTAGCAGGCAGAACATGAGGACCAGGCCGTGTATAAACCTTTCAGCAAAACCTACAGCCAAGAACTAGTCAGTCAGGAGTATTGAAAATCAGATACCAACTTAAAACGGATCCACAGATCTAAAGGTAAAAGGTGAAACTATAAAACATTTAGAAGAAAACAGGAGAAAATCTTCAGGACCTGGGGTTAAGTAAAAAGTTCTGCAAAATGACACCAAAGGCATGGTCCATAAAAGAAGAAAATCATAAATTTAGACTTCCTCGAAATTGAAGTAAAATGAATGAAAAGACAAGTCACAGACTGGGAGAAAATATTTGTAAAGCACATACCTGACAAGGAATTGTATCCAAAACATAAAAAGAACTGTCAAAACTCAGAAATGAGAAAATAAACAGCCACATTTAAAAATTGGTGAAAGACTTGAACAGACATTTCATCAAAGAAGATACACAGATGGCAAATAAGCATGTGAAAAGATGCTCAACGTCATTAGCCATCAAGGAAATGCAAATGAAAACCACAATTAAATACCAGTTTATGCTCACTAGCGTGCTTATAATCAAAAAGATAGACAATAACAAGTGTTGGCAAGGAAGTATAGAAATTAAAACCTTCATAGATGGCTGGCGGGGATGTAAAATGTTACAGCAGGTTTGGAAAACAATCTGGCAGTTTCTCAAAAACTTAAATAGAGTTACTATATAACCTAACATTCCTGGATATTTACCCTAGGGAAATGAAAACTTAGGTTTGCATAAAAGCCCATACATGAAAGTTTGTAGCAGCTTTATTTGTGATAGCCTCAAACTGGAAACAACCCGAATATCCTTCAGTCAGTGATTGGATGAACAAACTGGTACATCTATACCATGGAATACCACTCTGCATTACAAAGGAAGGACCTGTCCATATACACACAGCATCCATATACACACAGTACCCATATACACACAACAAGGATGAATCTCAAAGGCATGCTGATTGAGAGAAACCCGTCTGAAAAGGTTGCATGTTGTATGATTCCATTTATGTAACATTCTAGAAAGGGCAAAAATATAGTGATAGTGGTTGCCGAGGGTTATGGGCAGGGAGAGTGTGGAAAATAAAGGGTAGCACGGGGTGTTTTATGGGGTGATAGAACTGTATCCATCCTGTGGCAGTGGTTACATGAATCTGTACATGTGTTAAAAGTCATAGAACTGTTCACAAAAGAAAAAAAGTGAATTTTCCTGTATGATAATTAATAAAGGAAAAAATGAATAATTGAGAAAGTAGTGCAAGGGGGTGGGGCCAATGTTAGAGCCCGGCCAGATAATGCCTCCACTCTTACCTGCGGGCTGTATGAGGTGGAGCAAGGTCTTTCTGGCCCCACAGCAACATACAGAGCCTGTGTTGGCATGGAGGCACAGAAGAGGAAGTATAGGCACCCAGCATCAATCTGCAAAGTTATCAAGGCAGAGGAGGCGGGGCCAAGATGGCAGAGTAGTCAGATGCTTCGTGTTGTCCCTCTTATAACAAAGACCTGAAAAAAACCAGTGAATCGATTATATATGACAATCTAGGAGTCCTGATGGGCTCAAGCATAACAACGATTGTGAGGATGGCGCAGGACCAGGCAGCGTTTCATTCTGTTGTTCATAGGGTTGCTATGGGTCGGAACCGACTCCACGGCACCTAACAACAACAGGAACACTGAACATCAAAGGCAAAGTTGAGGAATTGGACTGAGCGGCAGGGTGAGGGAGAGATGGTTTGGAAGCAGCAAGGAGTTGCCAGACGTGACCCGGCCGGAGCCAGCACATTTCAGGCCAGCTCGGCTGGTGTGCACGGTGAGCAGTGACACTAGGGAGGCATTTTCCACATCGGGAGAGACAAAGCAGCAGAGAGTCTACTTGGGCCTCCAGAACCAGTGAAAAGCGGTGCTCAGTCAGCAGAAGATAAGTACATGCGTCTGAACCACAGCGCGGATCAAAAAAAAAAAACACCCCCTTTGGGAAAAATCTCTCTTCCATTTACTTGCTCCCTCCCTGCTCTGTACTGTGTCCTGGGCCAGCTTCAGTGATTGCCGAGTCCCCTGGGCCGGAAGTAGGACCTGTCACGCGCCCTGAACCATTCTCCTGGCCTTGGAGAGGGAACAAATTAACAAACAGGAAAAAAAAACTGCCAGCTCCCCTAAGCCAGGAACTCAGGGTAGGCACAGCTCCTTTGCCTAGGCACAGGCATAAGGGGTCCACGAACTTTCAATGCCCTTCACCCCTGCATAGACCTGTGTGGGCCCATTTCAGCAGTGTAGATCCTCATTAGCACAGTACAACAGGGTATATACCTAATGCCTAACTTCATCTGTATCAGCTATATGGTGGAGTGGCAGGTTCGTGACATTTGACACTGCTCTGCCCATTGAGCAGAGTCCTTATCTACCCACCTCAGGGGCCTGAAGACCGGTGGCTCCACCCACGCCACCTAGCTACCCACAACAGGGGTCCAAGAATAAGTGGTGCCCACTAGTCCTTACAGCCAACAGCATTAGGTGCCCATAGTCCGGCTGCAGAAGCCACCCACCTATGTGCTCTAGGGAACAGGGACATGCTTTCCTCTCAGACACTCAGGGGCAGCTGTCAGCCCCTTGCCGTGCTCAGCACATTGTGACCCCCTACTGCAGCCAGATACCTGTGCCTACACCAATCACCCCTGCCTGTCTAGGACTGTAGGTGAGAGCCTGCACCACACACTTGGTGACCAACTACCTGGACACCTGAGCTGAATCCACACAAGAAAATAAATGGACTCCTGGGCTCACATACCTAGCAATAGATCTAAACACTTGGTGACAGTACATTAGTGCTTCAAAGGCGTCAATAATTAAACTGGCTCACACAAGCAGCCGATTTGGGCATATCAAAACAAAACAAGAAGCTAGGACACAGTAAGCAAACAAAATACGTAAATATAATAACTTATTGATGGCTCAGAGACAACAGTCAATATCAGATCACATAAAGAGGCAGACCATGATGGCTTCAGCAAGCTCCCAAAATAAAGAATCAAGAAATTTTCCAGAGGAAGAGAATTTCTTGGAATTACCAGAGGCAGAATACAAAAGATTAATATACAGAACTCTTCAAGAAATCAGGAAGGAAATGATGTAAAACTTAGACCAAGCCTTGGAACACGCAAACAAAGCAATAAAGGAATTTAAGAAGATTAGAGAAGTGCATAATGACAAATTTAGCAGGCTTCAAGAATCCATATAGAGACAGCAATCAGAAATCCAGAAGACTGACAATAAAATGTCAGAATTAGACAACTCAATAGAAAGTCGTAGGAGTAGAATTGAGGCAGAAGTCAGAATTAGTGACATTGACGATAAAGCACTTGACACCAACTTATTTGAGGAAAAATCAGATAAAAGGATTAAAAAATGAAGAAACCCTAAGAATTATGTGGGACTTTATCAAGAGGTATAACCTA